TAAGTATATTTTGATGCTAATCGTTTTGTTCTTGAGTAACAATTTGAATGCAGTACTTTTACTTATAACAGAGTATTCCTACACTCTGGTACTTCTACTTTTACTCAAGTACAAGATCTGAGTACTTCTCCCACCTCTGAGTACTCAATAGTTCTAGCCCATGGGCTTTATTTCTCTTACTAAACGTTTTTGTAGGAACATATTTTTTTACATTATTATCGACAATACAAAAAAAATGTGTGTATTGCCTTGACTGAGATTACACACTTTTACAAGCATTCTTGTCACACAGAGTTTTTTGTGCTAATTTTATGAAAGTCGATTGCACTTTCATTTCTTCTTTTAGACCACTACTTTAAAGACTGATATGTATTGCCCCTAAGATAAAAGAAGTGGCTACTTGGTTGCATTCTTTGTGAATTTAATAACGGAGCATGTTTTCCTTCCTAATAAGATTTCGGTAAACATTAGTATTACTGTGGTAGCCTCAAGTCTTACAACAAAGATTATTAAAACATAAAAACTATAAATATAAAACTGTTATTTTATGATTAACTTTCATAAAAAAGACTGAGATTGTCTGATACACTTTCCAAAATTGCAAAACATCACACAAGAGACCATTTTGTTTCTTTAAATATTTTGTATTCTGATCATTGTAAAGTTTGTGACAGCAATTGTACAAAGACATCTCAAAGAATACGTCCACACATGATAACATAAAAACACTCTCTATAAATAAAAGAAAATGACAGTGCATTGTTTTTACATATATTTCAGGTATAACATGATAAGCTAGAAACGGTTGTGTGGTAATCGGAAGAACAGCAGTTCATTCCTCTGCTCCTACGACCCACATCTCCTTTGGCAAGATACTGAACACCAAGCCATCTGGTGTGTGTGTGTGTGTGTGTGTGTGTGTGTGTGTGTGTGTGTGTGTGTGTGTGTGTGTGTGTGTGTGTGTGTGTGTGTGTGTGTGTGTGTGTGTGTGTGTGTGTGTGTGTGTGTGTGTGTGTGTGTGTGTGTGAATGAGCATTACATTCATTCATATGAGTTTGGGACTTTGTGTGGCAGCCATCAGTGTATGGTCGTTTGTGAGTGGATACATTTTGGCATATATTGTAAAAGTGCCATATAGTGGCCATAGTGTTACGATGTATCACTTTATGGATGTTTTAATGGACTAGGTGCTTAAAGTTTAATCCTTAATACGACAAAAATAAATATTCCACTGTAATTTATTGGTCCGGTCAATGCAAAGTTAATTCTAAAAGCAAGTTCATCAGAAGCTGTAAAAGACTTCCACTCAAAGAATCTTGGATTTTTAACAACAAAAATAAATCCTTTTTCATACCAGCATTGGCAGTCATGTTGTGATTACTGTGTAAAAACATCCCTAATGCTATTGCTGGTTTAACAGTAGCCATGAAAACAGTAATAGGCAGGGTGCGGTGACAAGACTGATCTTGTGTCTTACTCCACTGGAAGCTGTAAATGAGGAAAAAAGTAAACCAAACATTAATATAAAAAAAAAGTAGATTTTGTTTTATTAAGTAGCACTCAGTATTTACTTACATATGCCATTTACGCTAATGGAGCTGGCTTCAATGTCGAATCCAACGATTGTTGAAGCTGCGTTGGTCAAAGCGGTCGCAATCTGAGTGATATTAGGAGCAGATGTGCTTGCAAATGAAACATCAAAGACGTTGATGATTGATCCGTTACTGCAGAGAGAGAAAACATATATTGTTTGAAATATCAGATATAGGATCCTACTCTTTATTATAAAACTGTAATAGTCTTAAACAATTACCTGAATGAAACAACATTTAGTGATTTGAAGGACGAAGGGAATCCCCTTTGGAAAACAGGTGTAAGCTGTAGAAACACAAAACAAAAACATATATTTTTTCACATAAACCTTTGCATTGGAATTTAGAGTTTGACTCATTTATTTGACTTGATCTTTATTGGTCTTTCATCAATTAATAATTCCTAATCATAGTGTGGTAACTGTGGAGTAGGCCTAGAATTCACATGTTTTGAGTGGGTGGACTAAAAAAACGTACCTGATCATTTATCAATGTAGCCCGATCTCTAAAAGCAGTAGAAGATGGATTCAGCAAGTCATTGGTAAATGTGGCTTGAACAGATCTGAAAGTCACCGTTGATGTTATAAGGGCTATAGTAGTAGGTGCTGTAGTCGCAGGTCGAGCAGTCGTAGGTGCTGCAGTTGTGGGTGCAGCAGTTGTTGGTGAAGTAGTTGTTGGTGCAGCAGTTGTAGGTGAAGCAGTTGTTGGTGCAGCAGTCGTAGTTGCAGCAATCGTTGGTGCAGCAGTCGTAGGTGTTGCAGTCGTTGGTGCAGCAGTTGTGGGTGAAGCAGTTGTAGGTGCTGCAGTTGTAGGTGAAGCAGTTGTGGGTGCAGCAGTTGTAGGTGCTGCAGTTGTAGGTGCTGCAGTTGTGGGTGCAGCAGTCGTAGGTGCTGTAGTTGTGGGTGCTGCAGTTGTAGGTGAAGCAGTTGTGGGTGCTGCAGTTGTGGGTGCAGCAGTTGAAGGTGCAGCAGTTGTAGGTGCTGCAGTTGTGGGTGCAGCAGTCGTGGGTGCAGCAGTTGTGGGTGCAGCAGTCGTAGGTGAAGCAGTTGTAGGTGAAGCAGTTGTGGGTGCAGCAGTTGTAGGTGCAGCAGTTGTGGGTGCAGCAGTCGTAGGTGAAGCAGTTGTAGGTGAAGCAGTTGTGGGTGCAGCAGTCGTAGGTGCTGCAGTTGTGGGTGCAGCAGTTGTGGGTGCTGCAGTTGTGGGTGCAGCAGTCGTAGGTGCTGCAGTTGTGGGTGCTGCAGTTGTAGGTGCAGCAGTCGTAGGTGCTGCAGTTGTGGGTGCAGCAGTTGTGGGTGCTGCAGTTGTGGGTGCAGCAGTCGTAGGTGCTGCAGTTGTGGGTGCAGCAGTTGTAGGTGCTGCAGTTGTGGGTGCAGCAGTCGTAGGTGCTGCAGTTGTGGGTGCAGCAGTTGTGGGTGCAGCAGTCGTAGGTGCTGCAGTCGTGGGTGCTGCAGTTGTGGGTGCTGCAGTTGTAGGTGCTGCAGTTGTAGGTTTTGCAGTTGTTGGTGCTGCAGTTGTGGGTGCAGCAGTTGTGGGTGCAGCAGTCGTAGGTGCTGCAGTTGTGGGTGCTGCAGTTGTAGGTGCTGCAGTTGTAGGTCTTGCAGTTGTTGGTGCAGTAGTTGTGGGTGGAGCAGTTGTGGGTGCAGCAGTTGTAGGTGCTGCAGTTGTGGGTGCTGCAGTTGTAGGTGCTGCAGTTGTAGGTCTTGCAGTTGTGGGTGCAGCAGTTGTGGGTGCAGCAGTTGTGGGTGCAGCAGTCGTAGGTGAAGCAGTCGTAGGTGAAGCAGTTGTGGGTGCAGCAGTTGTAGGTGAAGCAGTTGTGGGTGCAGCAGTCGTAGGTGCTGCAGTTGTGGGTGCAGCAGTTGTGGGTGCTGCAGTTGTGGGTGCAGCAGTCGTAGGTGCTGCAGTTGTGGGTGCTGCAGTTGTAGGTGCAGCAGTCGTAGGTGCTGCAGTTGTGGGTGCTGCAGTTGTAGGTCTTGCAGTTGTTGGTGCTGCAGTTGTGGGTGCAGCAGTTGTGGGTGCAGCAGTCGTAGGTGCTGCAGTTGTGGGTGCAGCAGTTGTGGGTGCAGCAGTCGTAGGTGCTGCAGTTGTGGGTGATGCAGTTGTAGGTGCTGCAGTTGTAGGTCTTGCAGTTGTTGGTGCTGCAGTTGTGGGTGCAGCAGTTGTGGGTGCAGCAGTTGTAGGTGCTGCAGTTGTGGGTGCAGCAGTTGTGGGTGCAGCAGTTGTAGGTGCTGCAGTTGTGGGTGCAGCAGTCGTAGGTGAAGCAGTTGTAGGTGAAGCAGTTGTGGGTGCAGCAGTTGTAGGTGAAGCAGTTGTGGGTTCAGCAGTCGTAGGTGCTGCAGTTGTGGGTGCAGCAGTTGTGGGTGCAGCAGTCGTAGGTGAAGCAGTTGTAGGTGAAGCAGTTGTGGGTGCAGCAGTTGTAGGTGCTGCAGTTGTGGGTGCAGCAGTCGTAGGTGCTGCAGTTGTGGGTGCTGCAGTTGTAGGTGCAGCAGTCGTAGGTGCTGCAGTTGTGGGTGCTGCAGTTGTAGGTGCTGCAGTTGTAGGTCTTGCAGTTGTTGGTGCTGCAGTTGTGGGTGCAGCAGTTGTGGGTGCAGCAGTCGTAGGTGTTGCAGTTGTGGGTGCTGCAGTTGTAGGTGCTGCAGTTGTAGGTCTTGCAGTTGTGGGTGCAGCAGTTGTGGGTGCAGCAGTTGTGGGTGCAGTAGTTGTAGGTGAAGCAGTTGTAGGTGAAGCAGTTGTGGGTGCAGCAGTCGTAGGTGCTGCAGTTGTGGGTGCAGCAGTTGTGGGTGCTGCAGTTGTGGGTGCAGCAGTCGTAGGTGCTGCAGTTGTGGGTGCTGCAGTTGTAGGTGCAGCAGTTGTGGGTGCAGCAGTTGTGGGTGCAGCAGTCGTAGGTGCTGCAGTTGTGGGTGCTGCAGTTGTAGGTGCTGCAGTTGTAGGTCTTGCAGTTGTTGGTGCTACAGTTGTGGGTGCAGCAGTTGTGGGTGCAGCAGTTGTGGGTGCAGCAGTTGTGGGTGCAGCAGTTGTAGGTGCTGCAGTTGTGGGTGCAGCAGTCGTAGGTGAAGCAGTTGTAGGTGTTGCAGTTGTGGGTGCAGCAGTCGTAGGTGATGCAGTTGTGGGTGCAGCAGTTGTGGGTGCAGCAGTTGTAGGTGCTGCAGTCGTAGGGGCTGCAGTCGTAGGGGCTGCAGTTGTCGGTGCAGCAGTTGTGGGTGCAGCAGTTGTAGGTGCAGCAGTTGTGGGTGCAGCAGTTGTAGGTGTAGCAGTTGTGGGTGCAGCAGTTGTATGTGTTGCAGTTGTGGTTGCAGCAGTTGTGGGTGAAGTGGTCGTTGGTGCAGCAGTTGTAGGTGTAGCAGTTGTAGGTGCAGCAGTTGTTGGTGCAGCAGTTGTAGGTGCAGCAGTTGTAGGTGCAGCAGTTGTGGGTGAAGTGGTCGTTGGTGCAGCAGTTGTAGGTGTAGCAGTTGTAGGTGCAGCAGTTGTTGGTGCAGCAGTTGTAGGTGCAGCAGTTGTAGGTGCAGCAGTTGTGGGTGAAGCAGTTGTGAGTGCAGCAGTTGTGGGTGCAGCAGTCGTACGTGTTGCAGTTGTAGGTGCAGCAGTTGTCGGTGCATCAGTTGTTGAAGATGTCTGTGCAGCTACATTAGCAGTTGTCGATACCACTGTTATGAAAACATTAAATATCACCCACACTGATACATTTAAAGGTGGACATTGCATGCAAAAATTACTCCTCCCCCTCTAAAAAAATCTGCATTTAATTAGCATGATGTGGGCATACTTCGAAGAGTAAAGTCAGTATTACCAATTGAATCCATTTTCACTCCGATACCTTTAGCTGATTAGACAGTTTTTACCTCTGCAAACTTTACCCTCATTTTGGAGTGTAATTAAGTTTATTTCCCAAAAAGCCCACTCCAGCCGCCACAACCAAACAATGACGCCTCTGGAATTCTTGTTAGTCTTAGAAGGTTTAAAGTACAAACTTAAACTCAGGTTAGATTTGCCATTACCTATCATGATTTAAAGGTGAAACTGGACTCTGATGTGTTTTTTTAAAGCAATATTGGATAATGAGCGGGCAATAACTCTACATGTTCCCTACGACTTTTCAATAAAATAAACCAACAGTATGAAGTACCTTCAAAGTAATCAGTTTATTATCACACTTACCTATTAGAATCAGGGCGAGTGATATGATCCGTTTGATACCCATCCTGTTTTTCTTTTAATCTATAAAATCAAACGATACATAGATTTACCAACAGAAGTAGCAAGTAATGCTATACTATATATATATACTGCTATAATGATACCCAAACCATCCTAGGGGAATTGGTTTGATACAAATAACAATTATTATAATATAATAACATTTCCTTAAAGTAGGGCAGAGATTATTTACAATAAGTATTGTGACAATGAACACCCAAAAGAACGCTCTCGGTCACTAACACTTAGACACACACAAACAAAGTTAATAACTGTACAGAAGTCTACATATTTACTTAAACATGTACTTACCCCAAATGAAAAGATAATAGGGAAAGAGTTTATCCTCCTTTCTTTTAAATGTTGTATTATTTCAGTGTCTTCAAATATAGTCCGGTTCAACGTCTGGGATATTGCAAACCTCACCTTCTGTGACAGTTGACATCTATCAAGGGTTTATATAGGAATCAAATAAAAGCCTTTGACGTGACTCAAACGTCACACATTTTTCTGAAATGTTGCATCACCTTAGCAATGAACAAAACAAGATCTCATAATAGAGAATGTCAGCAATTAAACTTGTTGGTTTCTTGGCCCAGTGTCCATAACTATACTAACTATCTCTGTCATTCATTGTGCATTCCATCTATGTGAATGTGTGGGGAAAGATAATGACAAACAAATACATATAGATTTCTAGTGACGTGGTAAAAAAGCAGGTAACATATGCAAGAGAAAAAAAGAATAGCATATTGTAACCTAAATCAATAAATGAGATGCATTTTCTACCTCACATCTTTTGTGTCATGTACATTCATTTGAATGTCACTTCTACATTGATGTAGAGCAGTTAGTTTAAACTTTAAGATGAGGTTAGTGGTGTATGAAGAGTTTATTGCCAAGTGTAATAAACCACTTTAACAATATGTCTCGGTTTAGTTTTTAATGACTATAGAGCGACCACCTACTCTGCACTTCTATTTTAGTTTTTCAACAGGATGCATAGCTTCTTAGTTTCTGTGACGTAGTTGCCTAAGTAGTCTATCCTTATGTTGTTTTTGCATTGCACCTCCTAGAGACAGTGATGCAGATAAAGGCATTCATGTAATGTGTTTCCCGTCACTGTGAGTTATGGAATTGAATTCATATTTGAAAGAGAAGTCAGTTATCATGTGACTCATACATGCTAAATATAACCTTCAAGCATCACTTCAGTGAAGTCATGCCTCTATTGTATGTGAAAAACTCCTGGTATTATGTTGTCAATGTTTTTTTACCAACTGTGTTTTCTCTCTCTCTCTCTCTCTCTCTCTCTCTCTCTCTCTCTCTCTCTCTCTCTCTCTCTCTCTCTCTCTCTCTCTCTCTCTCTCTCTCTCTCTCTCTCTCTCTCTCTCTCTCTCTCTCTCTCTCTCTCTCTCTCTCTCTCTCTCGCAGTGTGGTGATCGTTAGAAGGCGCAGCTGGTTCACAATGAGGAGCACCTGTACTCATCTAATCAACTCCTCCATAAAACCCTGGTCATGCTCACACTCCAGTGCCAGATAATTCCGTCTCACTCGGTAGAGCTGAATGTTGTAGTATCCTAGCTTAGTGTGATTTTCTCTGGCTGTTTTTGTTGAAGAGTAACCTTGTTTTTTCCTCTGTTTTTCCCAGTGTCTGCTCGAGCCAGCCTGAGTCCTGCCGCCGCCACCAGCGTGAACTAGATCCACCTTCATTTTGTGGATTGTTTTTTAGTTGCTCCTTTTTTCCTTTATTAAACGTTGTTAAAAGACTGCATCCATCTGGTCTCTGCCATTTTAGGCCCTGAACTTTTGACCCAGCCCTAACAGAATTGTATTTATCCCTGTTGAAATTCAGGAATTAAAGCAGCAACAGAATGATAATGAAAAAGGGACAGTACAGATTCACACAAGGTACAAAAGTAATACAAAAAAAGAATACAAAAATAAAATGACATAGTAACTGTTAAGATATATACATATTTGGGTTCTGATTGTTAGATATATTTATATATATATATGCGGATGCAGGTCAAAGTAATTTGTACAAACAGTGCAGATTTTATGTATGTACGGGTTACTTTAATTGGTATAGTTAAAAGTAATGTTGGTATATTTATTGGTATTTATTTAAAACATTTACAAAAATTCCTATGAATACATTTCTTCAGGGACTTATACTTCCACCAGCCATTATGTCACCGGCTACACCCAAAATATTTATTTATTTTCGCTTGTGTAATTTTTTCATTATTAAAACCGACCAAGAAACAAAACAAGATCATAACAAGATTTTTCAATTTCCAGTCTCCCCAGCACATGTTAAGCTGTCTCTTGCTAAAGTGATAAATATACCAGTTATGGCTTACAAAGTCAAAGTCAGCTTTATTGTCAAGAATTCTACATGTTATACATCCAGAAATATCGAAATATCGTTTCCCGCAGTCCTACAGTGTGACATATATACATCAAACAAAAAACTAAAAGGGCTATAAACATGGTATACATTAAACAAAACAAAGGGCCTAGATAACCGGGGTATACAGTTTAAAATGTTAATAATATATTTAAGTGTTTAAGTGTTCAAGTGTTCAAATATTGCATGTATTAGCACTACCAGTTAAACACAATTAGTGGTAGTTCAGTTCTTTATTAATGGATGTCCAAAACCATCTCCCAATAATTCTGATGTATTCATTTTTTAATTCCCCCAGCTTTTGATTTGTTTAAAGTATATTTATCCTCAAAAGTATATAGCTAAGCAGTCATTAGACTTTAAAAAGTAACAAATGATCGTTAAACAGAAGATACAATGTGCACATCAGTGCTTTTCTTCTCCGCAGTAATGACTCACTTAAACCTGTGCCAACTGGTGGAGGCAGTAAACAAAAAAAAAGGAAATATCCAATTCATGACAGGATACTGATATGGACACTACTATGACAGATGAATTTGACAGATTACATTTAAAAACAAGAAAAAGCGAACTTCGGTTTGCTGATTATTAAAATGATTGTGCAGTAGTTTAATCATTAGACACGTTGGCGATCGCTGTGTTAGTGTAAAATTAAATTTGTCTGCCAACTCTTTGCACGATTACTTCAGTTATAGACTGCGGTCAACTCAGCCGTCTCTCGCGTGTGCTTGGTCAAATGAGCAGCTCTTCATTTTTGAGTGAGCGATTAATAGCGTCTTTACGGTAATCAACGAGAAGCGGCACTGACACTAGTACAAGAATAAAAGAATGCATGTTTTTGTGCTATATTTTTCGATGAAAATATGTTTTACCATAAGTTCTGACACTGTTGGACTCCTACTAGTTTGACTGCTACCCAGGGCCGTCCCTGGCCAACATGAGCACAAGCGCATAGGTGCGCCACATTTTCGGCTCAGTTGAGGCACCCTCCGCAAGGTGAGGCCCCCTCCGCAAGGTGAGGCCCCCTCCGCAAGGTGAGGCCCCCTCCGCATGATCGGCCTGTAGGGAGGGACGGCCCTGCTGCTACCAACAATAAAATGAAGTACTTTTACTGTGTACTTTTTCAGTTATTCTCTGTCAAACTCTCCTCCTGAGAACAAATTCAAGCCACTTCTGCTATATTTGATGAGGGATAACATTATTTTTAGCTATAAGTTCTACATGAAATTGATACTGTTGGACTCAGTACTACTTGGACTACTACCACAAGTACAATCAAGTACTTTTACTCTGTACTTTTTGAGTAATCCCCTGTCAAACTCCCCTCCTGAGTACAATAATGCATGTTTTCTGCTATCTTTGATGAGAGATAAAATGATTTTCACCCTTGTCACTCTTGTTGGCCTCCTATGATGCTGCTAAAGTCCTTCTACTGCACCTTTTTTAAGACTCCAATACAGACATTTCTACTTTATGTGTTTGGAGAAATTACACAATATTTGGCCCAGATTTGTACTCCTCGAAATCTTGTAGTGCAGGAAGAAATACACACTGCTGCCTGCAGGTGATATACTGTAGGCTTTGCTTTGCAAAATGTATTCAAAGGTCAAAGGGATTAGTTTTGTGTCATAAAGATAAAGCAACACTTTGCCAGAATCAAGCAAAACTAAGAGTTTAAGAGAAAAAAAACAGAGTCAAGCAAAATGAATTTAAGTTAAAAAATAAAACTACAAGTTGCAAACAAATCATTTTTGTAATCATGTAAACTACAAGTCTTTTTTCTTTGTTTTGACATATCTTTTTGTTTGCAGTTCTCTTTGCTTCTTTCCCAATGATCAGACTTTAGCTCTCGCTGCAGCTCTCTCATTTGCGTTCCTTCATTTTTTGTTTGCGATTCTGACACAAGCATCGCAGGTGGGCGGGACTTTTATGGGGTGCGTCCCCATTGGCTACTCAGTTTTTGAGTGACAGCCCACTACATCACAGATCGTACAGTGCAACTCATGCAGCAAACGTTTGTGTTGGTGTCTCCTGGGGAGTTTTCATGAAAATATTGGACTTATCTTATGGATTGCTGTGCATTATACTTGTGTTGTGTAGTTTATACTTTATTCCAACTTTAAATATTTTAATACCTGAACACACTGCTGCTGTAACAAAATAATTAGAAATCTGTCTATCTATTTATTTTATAGATAAAAAAAGACATCTATGTATTTGCAAGCTAAAGGTGATACACAATATAAACTGTATACTGTTATTTTTTCAAAGACACGTTACATTTAAAAAAAAAGCATATATGGCTATGTTTAGGACAAACAATTAAAGACTGCTTTAATTTAACAAATTCTACAATATAAAAGTGGCAGATTTGCTTTATTAAACAGATCAGACCTAGGCTGCATACCAACACAATTAGGAACATGCTCACATCTTACTATGTTGGTCTGAAGAGCTGAAGCATTCATACACAATGGATAAAAACTGTGTGGTTTCATTCTATATCCTGTGAGAAAATGATATACATTTAGCATTACAAACTCAACATACTATTCCTAGCCTGAGGAAGATATGAATAATCAACAGATTTGAATGGAATCTCTAAAATGTTCATGTAGAATAAAGAGTGATTATACAAATTACATTTATTGAAATTTGAACCAGAAGATGAAGTCTCAAAGAAAGTTTTAAATAAAAGGACATAAAACAAAAAGGTGGATAATAATAAAATCTATTAAATGTATGTGTAAAGACCTTTGGTCAAATGAAATGACCCTGAGCCAGTGATAAGAGCTGCACCCAGCTTGGATGAAGCTGGTGCAGGTCTTTCTTCATGCCCCCTCAGTGGATCTGATGCCGTCCCCTCGGAGGAAGTGGGAAACGGGAGAAGACCTCTGGACACCATGCTGTCTCAATGATCCACACTGTTAATATGAGAGGAACATAATTATTTTAGGAAATGAAAAATATGAAGTTAACTATCAACAGGTCTCCATTTAGAAAAAAACAAATTA